CCACAAAATCCTTGTTGTCCCTGCGTCGCCCTGCTTAAGAAAAGTTATGGCGACCCTCCTCCGTGGGAGCGGGGAACCAGAGGTCGAAGCTTTGTAGGTTAATCAGTTCGGTCATGTGTGTGAACATAACAGGCAAGGGCCCAGGGGGTTCATGTTCCAGCTTCATGAAAATGCTGAGCTCACACACTCCCGAAACATAAGGTGATCTGGAACCCGTTATGTTCAGAAAGGAGGCTGAGGAATTCAACTTATGGGACCAGCCCACATCCTACCTTTACCGAATCGCCAAGTGTTAATCATAGTCTTAATTGCCATCCGGCAGGTATGAAGTGGGAAAGTATAGCTGAAAGTGGTGCTATATGAAATGAACAAAAAAGGCATTCCTCTGTATATGTGTATAGTCTTTTTAGACGCAACTTTCTCCACTTGAAAAAATTCATGTACCCCCCATCAAAGAAACCCTCTGCCAGGCCCGTCTCTCAGCCCATGCACGGCTGCTTCCTGAGAGAAGGGGCGGCACAAAGAGGGGGAACTGCGTGTGAAAGGGAGTGAGCGGGAGTGGGCTCCACCATGAGCCTTCTAATGTTCACATCGCCATAAGACCGTTGCTTGATGTTGCATGGTTCTCTCACACCCCTTCGCCAAACAACTGTGTTGGGATTCTTTGTTGGCAAACACAAAAGCTATTGGCTCGCGTGCGCCGCATTGTTTATCTTTACGCCCACCACTGCTTTTTCGCTTTCACTTCACTCACTGTATTGTGCGGGAAGTGTGTTCTTTCACGATCGCCACGCGCGCGCGCCACAAGTCGAAAACTCAGCCTAACACCTCAGCTGTGCAATTGCAGAGTGAAATCTGGAGAAATCCAGACTGCGCTTCGCAGCAAGTGTGTGGAGCCAAAAAGCGTTGAACTTGGAAGTGCCGATATCTCACGTCAATGAGGCGGCACCCGTCAAACTTGCCAAGGCTGAGGCTCAGTGTCTTTTGGTTTAAATTCTTCGGGTTTAGTGTCTTCGGGTTCTACCTGATCATGCTTTGCAAGAAGCGGTGCCCAAGTGGAGCATCCTCTGCCAGCGAGACTAGGTGCGTCCGAGCCGCGGGGCCCGCCATTTCCATAGCGAGGATGGGGATGGTCCATGTGTGCCAAGGGTACCTGGTAAGATTGTATTCAGGATGAACATCCCCCCTGGAGAGAAGACATCCCAGTTTTGATGCACAGCTGGCCTTTGCAGGCGAGCTCACATAGGTTTCTCAACTTGGCCTTCAAGCTACTGAGTTGAACTGTGCTGAAGCTGGGCTCACGTGGCATGTGTTGAAATGAGAAACTCACACCGTTGGATGATGGAGCTTTCCGAATCGCAGAGGAATCCAATGACATGACCTCAACTGGCCATATAGCTGAGGCCTAGTCACGAAATCTACCCTCCACCACATCCATTGTTTCAGGATTCACAACTTTAATCTCCACAGGAGTCTTTCCCTTCGAGTCCGTCTGTGAACAAGCTGGATGGTTGAATAATGTTGTATATCCTCCCCCACGACCTCTCTGGGACTCGACTATTTGCACACATCAAGGGGTGACCTGATGTCAACCATGGTACACTCCCTGAAACAATCATGGTCACGTGGAGGTTCTGGCTCCGAAAGAAGGAAGACTAAACCCCATCCTCAGACCAAGAGGGGGTGGTCCACTTCCATGATTCTTGCAGGGTCTTCATACGCCCCAGTCCCATGGACTTGGAGTGGAGTGTCAACCCTATCCTGGATGGGTCAAAGAGCCGCTGGTCCTGACGCGTCCTGACGCGACCGACCGACCGATGGTCTCCCGGTGTACCGATTCGGTCGACTGGCTGTCATGCTTGTAGCTCAACGCTTGGTCAACGGAGTCTCTCGTTCAAAAGGCGCATGTCCCAGGCCCCCAAGGAATTCACTAGGCCAAATGGCCTAGTGGACCGAAGGAGACGTCCTTGCGGGAACCACCGTGGGTTGGCATGTTCGATGAGGCATCACTTGGGTCTATCCGTCAACAGTGGATGATGGTCTGGTTTGTCTAGGCCTCAAAATCTCTAAAATGGATCTCTTCTTAGTTGACCCACACGTGGCCTCAGGTTCACTCCGGACCCCATCACCTGCAGCGTGTTCTCCACCTCCGGAGCCCCATCTCCGGTCCCCGAAGTCGTGACGAACCGGTCGTCAAACCGGTCGCAAGCGCGACGTGCTCATGCGGGAAGACGTCTGGCGGAAGACGGGGTTGAAAAAGGAACATACACACTCTATGCGTCGGTTCATCGATGAACAATCACACTCTGAAAAAGAAGAACCACTCTTAACTGGCTAGGCTCCAAGCAAGAGTCACATGTCGGGGTGGTGTGGCTCGTCCCATCCAGGGCTCGTGGATGTGACAGGGACACCCTGACTACCTGCATGGATGGCACCCGGACATGCAACTGAGTTCCAACCTCCCTCCATGCCCTCGAACGGAGCAAGGACGCTATACTAGGGGCGCTCCTGGCATTACTACTAGGAACAAGAATGGTCTTTAGGGGACCTGAAATGGAACTTCTTTTACTTCAGACAGTCCAAATATCGTCGAACTGGACTTCTAGGGTACCAGCCACCAAGGGCATCGCTACCGAACCCGTCTCCGCGCGGCACCCCGAACCCTCCCACGTCTCGCGGACCGTCGAACACCGCCAAGGAATTCGCTCTGAGGTGCGGTTCTCGTAAGGTGTGGCAATCAAAAGGCGCGCCGAATTCACCCCAAAGCTTGATCACCTGGCCGACCAGCCAAGCAAAGCGCGTCTCGACGTGGAGTTTCCACGACATGCTGGCGCGAGCGCTCTGCACATGACGAGGTGGTTTCGCCGCGTTAGAACGAGACACCCGATGACACGCCCGGTGGGAATGGCCATGAGGATGACACGAACAATGGTGGGAATGGCCACCGAGGACACTGGATGTGGTCTTCGAAAGACATCACCAACAAAGTGATCAGCCAGGCTGCTAGACTTGTTCTCTCATTGGCTGCGGTCTGTTCCATCCATTTGCCCTGCTTTAACCCGTTCTTGATCGGTTGGTCGCACAAAGGAACGCTAAGACCGACTAGTCCCCCTTCGACGAACGCAACATGGTCGAACAACGAGCGGATCATGGGTGATGATCAAATAGGTTCAATGGATCAGCGGGAATGGTCGGCGAATCGGACAAAACGTCATGCGTTTTGGAGACCAAGCTGCCAGGCTGCTGAAGTCCCTTTCCGCCGTGAACTGGGAGGAGTTCCTATTGTGGCTTTGGGGCTTTGGCTTTGTGGCTGTTTCCCCGGGCGTCGAAGCATCCCGCACGGCATCTCCGACAGCGTCATCCCCACTGTTTGACAGATGGTGTTCGCAAATGGGGGTGGTTTTACAGATGGAGCCCTTTCAGTGAAGCAAGGCACGAAGAAGAAAGAACCTATCTTCCTTCAACAGGAGTTCTTGCTTGGAGAAGGACGCCCTTCTTGGGCCGCACCAGGGGCTTCCCCGGTTAAAACCCGCGTGGCCACACCTGCTTGATCTCTTCGGCTACGCCGAAGACCATGGTGGCTAAGATGAAAACGACCTCAGTCGCCCCTGGGAGCTCGGGGGCGAACGAGAATGGGTTGCGAAACGGCGCCGAACCACCCCACCCGAGCTGTTAGCATGTTGGCACACGGCTTATATACACCATGCCCTCACCTTTCACCTTGGCCTCCCTCCCTCTCTCTCTCTCTCTCTTTCTCACTCTCACTCTCACTCTCACTCTCACTCCCACTCTCACTCTCACTCTCACTCTCTCTATCTCCCTTTGCACACAAACGAGATCAAACGAGACAAACCTGGGAGCCTGGGCAGACCGTCGAAATCCACGATGTTTGGGTTCTCCCCGGATCACCCCCGCCGAAACCACCCGAACAAAGACTGGCGTCCCCCCCCGCACCACCCGAACCTCCCCGGAACCTCAACCCCGTCGCCGCCGCGGACGACCGACGACGGACTGGGTCGTGGGGACAGTCAGCAGCAAGAGCAAGCGCTCCCAGACTGGCAAGCACTGCCAGGCGAAGCGAAGCCTCGCGAGGCGGGACGCGAGGACCGCGAGGGACGCCGTGGACCCGCGGTAGACACCGAGCGCTAGCGGTGTGGGAGCGCCGGGGACGGAAAGTGAAGAAGTGAGTGGAGATGAAGGATCGATTAAGATCGAATGGGGTTTTGCCCAGCCTGTGCTGCAAGATCTTTATATAATTGAAAACTGAAGAATGGTTGATCTGTACTTATTAGGATCAATGTTCTTTTTCACCATGGCCAATGTGCGTTTTCACCATGACACACCCTCCGTCTTTTCCAGATATCTTGGCACCATGACTTAGGGATCTTCTTCCAGAAACCCAGGAAGCGGTTCGAGAGGACCCCGAATCGTGCGCATTGTGCGCGATTCATGCTCCGCGCAAACAACGCCCGGGCTCCAGGAACCCCGTGTTCGATGTGCCTAAACAACGGGGTTGGTTCCTCCCCCCCGACGCAAGATCGAAAAACAAACCAAACAGCAAACCAAGCAAACAAAACAGGACAAGAAAAGAAATAAGACATGTCCTTCCTCATCTTGCCAAGTGAAGGAGATGAGATGAGATATGGAGGTGACAAAAGAAACTGGTTGTGATCAAGACTGTAGTAATTATCCAATCTTGTTCCCCCACATGTTGAAGCGAACTGGGTCAAACTGGATTTATCTTGGTAGCCCAGCCAAGTCCTAACATAAGTCAACAACAGCATGTATATATATAATATATATAATATAGGCACAGGCGCGGCACAGGAGATCAATATGGATCAATGATTGGAATATGTTGGAATGTCCGACGATTTCATATCGTTTGGTGATTTAGGCAAATCCGGCGTGGCGCTCGTTCTCCGTCGAGGCTTGAATTTCATCGTTTGCACCCGCATCCAGTGCCATGGCACCTTTGCTTGCGTTTCGCACAGTGCATCCAGTGGGATGAAGCAAAGGAGTGCAAGTAGTGCGGCAAATGGAGGTGAATCGGGCAGTGACCGGACGGACTCTTCTCTCGTATCCTCATCTTCGGCGACCGGGAGGGTCCCGAAGACGATGTTCACCTCTTTTCACCCATTCCGTTCTTGAAGTCTCCTCCCAAATCCATCCAAATCCTCACAAATCCAGACCGTTTGACCTTTTCGGAGGCATTGTCTCTGTCTCTCGCTCCTCAGTCTTCCCACTCCTCGCCCTTCGGCTCGCCCGAAACGGCTCGCCCTCCCCACTCGGCCTCGGCTCCTCGTCGGCGGAAGAACTCCCAGACGAGGTGATCGAGGAACTCCCTGCCGCGGCCGGAGCCCGGGGGGACGGCGGTCGGAGCCGCGGCCGGTGGAGCGAGGCCGGCGGAGGATCCGCCAGAGTCGAGCACCTGTGACCTCTCAGTGGGATCAGTGGAGTCGGAGTCTGGTTCTAGAACCAAGCAGAAGACTCTCTTGCCTTCGAGAGGTCTTCTGTTTGACCTTGCCGTCTCTGAGAATCTCAACTTGTGTCACAGTGTCACAGTGTCACGTTTTCAGAAGTCCCTCATGCGGTATGAGACTCACACACAAAACATGCGGAAAGTCGACCAGATTGGCTGTTCATAAGGTGTTTAGCGCTTGTAACTTGTACACTGGCTGCGTCAAGGCTACGTGGAGCCTACGCAAAGGCGGCTTTGCAAAGGCATGCAAAGTGCAAAGGCTATTTATACACCAGCACACACTCGGGAATATGTGTCACACACACTATAGGCGAAAGTAGTTCCCCTGGAACCCAATGATGAATGGTAGGCCGCGTGGACTTTTCCTGGTTGGCTTGCCCTGGAGGAAGGTGCCTGAGGTGCCTAAGGTGCCTAGTAACTTGATTGCAACTGGTGCTTCTGGCTCCAGCAGCCTGGCTCATTTGTTCAGCATTTGAATCACCCGAGGCCTGGCAGTTTCCAAGTTGATTTTTTTGCCTGGGCTTGTTCGCGTTCCCGTTTTCACATTGCACAAGTTCGATTAGACATGTCAACAACGCCCCACCCGGCATGAGAACAGAATCAGTGTGGTTGGTAGGTCTACTGGAATAAATCTGAAAAACAAGATCACATGCAGAGTTTAACCCACTTCGTCACATCACTAGCTAATTACAGCATTTGGGGGGGTTCTAGATGCTGCTTTCAACCATTCAACACCTGTGCTTGTTTGTGACTGCTGGTTCAGGATAGACACTGCCTGGTTCAGGAGATCACGATAGTAAAGAGTAAACGTTCCACCGAAAAACACACCATCGAAGTGTTTCACCATTTCACCCGGTGCCGGGTTCAGAATGGATCAATCCCACAGGTGCAGCGGTGCGGAGTACCTTCCAGGGTTGCCACTCAAACCCAACGCAACCACGTTCGCCGTCTTCCTCATTGGGATCCTGGCGGATCAAGTCTCTCTACCATCGGTTCCCCGGCCTTCTTTGCCTTCCAACGGTTCCTGCAAAGCATCCACCCGCATCTACGTGGGGACCCGTCGACCCGTCCGCCCAACGGCTGTGTGAACACCCAGAGTCGGTCCGACCGCACTGCAAAAGGGAGGAGTTGATCCGATTTTGGTCCCACCGGACCGTCTGTGGCAAAGTTCCATGTGTGTGTATACATACCTAGAACCTGAATGACCTCTATTTTGGACCACCAACCACCCAAAATATGGCCTTTTCCTATCAAAACACGGGTCAGTTGGGTTCCAGGTATATATATAGGCACCAAGGCGGGCGCGCCGACAAGAGTTTCCTGCCTCGTTTCTCCCTTCGAAACGGAACGGACTAGTGACTAGTCTCGAGTAGCAACGCGCTTTGACCCACACCCAAAATCTTTACGTGCTCGAATCCAGGCATCATCTCAAGCTGGTTGGTTGCTTGCTTGCTTCAATTCTGCCTTTCGTCAAGTTGATCACTCGGCCCAGTTGGCTCTAAGTCGTGCCAATGTGTTCTCCGTTCGTTCCATGTTACCTCTTAGGTCATCTTTTCCGGACGTCAGCCGCCTCCTCCTGGCTATCCGTGGAGATCTCGGCATCCTCTTCTCGGCCTCCCAGCGAGTGCATCAGAGCGAGCACCGGGCTCCCATCGTGCAACCGATGGAGCAAACATGGTGCAAAAATGGTAATTGGCGACCGAATATGGTTTCTAAGTGAAGAGTAATAAAACCCAAAGTAAGCCACAAAAACACAAACTCATTGCAAGACGCCAAAGCCCAAACGCAAAGAAGTCACCAAGCGCCAAAAGCTACCAAGTTCAAAGCCCGAGGCCACCAAAGCCCCCACCTGAAAAAAGGACAATTAGATACACTACTGTAGTAACTATAGCACACAAAAATGCTCCTCCCACCCCAACTTCATGACTATGAACACAGTGGATTTGAGCCCCAAAAACCGAAGAGTGCAGGGGTGGACCTCGAGGTCCGAGGTCCGGACAGGAGGACCCGGAGGCCCTCCCTCTGCAGATGTGCTTGGAATGATGGAATCGACGGCCCAGTCTCAGGTCTCTCAGGAGGCGGCCGGACAAGTGCTGTCGACCCCCACGAGGTTTCTATCTAAGGTGTCACTGATCCTGTTAGTTCTTTGGCCATCCAACACCCAGACACAACATCTTCTCAGATTCAAGCAACCCCGTTTCAAGCCCCAACTGATCGGCCATGGACATGCATCAATACGCCCTGGTTTCAAGACCCCCCATGGAACCCGGTTCACCGCGGTTTGGGGGGGTCTCTCCCGTGGGGAGGTGTTTCTTCGTGTGCAAGTGCAAGTGGGAATTGCTACCAGGCCATCCGGCCATCCCCTCCTTCGTCCTTTGCGTCTCTTAAGCCGCAGACGTCGAAGCACGTACCCGGAACGTCGAAAACCCGGGAGGCCGTTCGTCATCGTCTTCGTCACGTACCCGGTCAGGCCATCCGCCGCTCCCGCCGCTGTTCCCCCCCGCCGCTCCGAAAAGAAAGGAACGGTGCGTGGCGCCGAAGGGACTCCGCGCCGAACGGCGCGGTCGCGCGCGCGCCGAACGGGGGGCCTTTGGCCACCAGGAAGAAGGTGATGGGAAAAAGGAAGCTAATGGGGCCTCTCGACGTCCCGCAGTGCGCCACGCGGGCGGGTTTGTCCGAGGTCCGGAGACGGGAGACCGGTAGAAGTCGAATGCATTCTTCAAATAGCCGAGTCATCCCAAACAATCATGGTCCCACTAAGGCTAAAGTGCAGATCGTTCCCATTTAAAGGTCGAACAGACTTCCAGTGCCGTTGGTGTGAGGCAGTGGATGTTGCGAAAAGCCTGGGGGGAAAGGGTTAGGGTCGGTAGGGTCGTGGGTGTCCAAGATCGAACGGTGGATTCATGGAAAAAGGGAACACACCAGGTTTCACCGTTTCGGATGCACGGTTCGGATGTCAGAGTGGGTGAGGCACGTGGATGGTGAGGCACGTGGATGGTGAGGTTGATCACCAAGTCAAAGGCAGAACTACTGGGCGGCTGCGCTAAGTCACCCCTTCCCTGATAAAGTCACCCCACTGCATGGGCACACGCATTCAAGAAAAAGTAAGGCTTGACCCATTGACCTAGTAAGGCTTCACAATCACACAGTTCTAAAGGTGCATGGTAAAGAAAAAACTGCTTTGAAGGTCGCATGTTGCAAAGCCTTTTCTTCCTGCGGGTGATGCTCTTTCGGCTTCACCTTGAATCTTTTTCTGCGACACCACGCCGACCCTTACTACCACAGAGTTGTGAGCCTTCACCTGGTGTTTCTCGACACATGGTGGTGACCGGTGGTGACCATGGTTCCTCTACCAAACAAGACCTGCTACCAACCAGCGTGGTGTCGAGCTCCGAGCTCGTTCGCACTGAACCAGGTTGGTGTTGTTCATCCGCGAAAGGGACCGACGCCACGGTTTCATCAGGGGGGGCTGGGACAACGCAACCCAAACGTGGCGTTGTCCGAGGCGGGGGGTTTTGGGGTGGTCTTTCTGTCCCGAAAACGAAAAGCCCTTAACTCGATGGTGAGATTTTCAGGTGTCGTTTTGAGGAGGTCTCCAAGAAAGGAAACGACTCTTACTTGATGATTTCTTCCACTCCGCAGGCCTCAAAAAAGGTGTTGTCCACACGAACTCCGCGCAGCGCGGCGCTTGCGTCGCAGATCCGTGCACCCCGGTCGAACGCTTGCGCCCCGTCGAACGCTCGGTGCAAAAACGCCCCAAGCCGCTCGGTGCAACAACGAAGCCCAGTTTCGCGGCCCGGCGCCCGGACCTTTTTTCCACGAGAGACGTTCAGCATTTGCAGAGTGACAGAAGCCGACGGGCGGCCTCAATCTAACGATCGCGGCGTGTGGTGTTTCCGATCCCCTGCGAAATGGCGCTGGGACACACGCTTTAGGGAAACCTGGGGGATCCCCGATTCTCTCAGTTGAGGGGAGAGGGATTGACGGTGGGCGAGATGGTAGGAGTGATTTATAGGAGAGTGTCCATGGAATTAGGAATGATCTAGGATCCTACAATTTCTCCTGTAAATCTTTGTATGATCCAAGACAATGACTAAGAGGCGGTAGCTCTTAAAGGGCTCTTGATCAATGATCATTTAAAGGATAGTTACTTTTTATCAAAAAGAAAGTGACTCGGAGCTTTTCCCTTTTCATCCCTTTTGGTTCTTTTTTCCACATGAATCCTTGGCTGGCACCGTTCCAAAAGGTGGCGTTTTGCAGGTTTTTCGGCCCCTTCGGCCCCTCCACAGTCTCGGTCTCCGCGAAGCGAAGCATCCGGCGCCTTACGAACCATCACATCGGGGGGGACGGAAGAAAGGGAGGTCGGGTACCAAAAGCAGTGTTTCATGGGAAGTTCAGGTACTCGATTCAAAATGACACGTCCAGCTTGGCAAAAAAAAGAAGCAAACGCGACATCGCCACGACTTCCATAGATTCAAATCCCAATGGAAACCCTTCAACAATAGAAAATCGCCACGACTTCAACACTTTGATGGTACCTGCTCACTCTCCGGACATGGACCACCTGCCGTGAGATGTGCACCAACGGAGGGATCCCCCGGAATGCAAACAACGAAGCGAGACCAGCGTCGACCGGAGAGCAGCGACCAAACGCTCCCTGTGGAGACCAGCGTTGGATGATTTCGGAGACCGGTGAAAAGGCTGTTCACCGAGCTGGGTGAATGTCTGACCTTTGGAAGGAGAAATGAAGTTGAACTCCAAGTTCCAACTCTTGGGAATTCCGATTGAAATGAGGGATTGCCGGGATTGCCTAAAATTGTTGTGTAAAACTAATGGAACGGGCAACCTGGTATAGGGATGATTTTTGGGGTGGAATTAGGTGGATGCCGATTAAGATGTTTACACAAAGGATCACAAAGGCAGTCTCGGATATGCTCAGTCTTTGTGCTTGCAACATGCCAATCCAAGATCCTTGGGCCAAACAAATCAGTTGATCAGATGATTGAAGGGGACGATTCTTGGGATAGGTGGCGGCATTTGGGGGTGTCTTTAGGAGAAGGGACTCCCAAATCAACGGATTTGAGTTTATGTGTTGCTCTTTTGCAAAGGAGTTTGTCGGGCAAGAGGGAACATCTCAAGAACTTGGTCGTGTTTTTCGGTTTCCAACTCAGCTGAGCCAACTCCCCTCAGGGAACGTCTTTTCGCCAACGTGTTTCCACGCTTCCGCCCTGCCCTGCACAACCGCCGGACCCAATGGCCACTTCTGACTCCATCGATTTCGGGGACGACGGCCATGACGGTGTCCCCCCCAGAGACGACGGCCGTGCACCGTCACGGGCGGAGGCGTCGCATGGCACTTCGTTGCTTCGCTAGGGTAGCAAATAAATCAATAGCCCATCGCAAGCCGCTTGTGTTCAGCGATGGAAGCATATGCACGCCAAAGACAGGAGAGTTCCCACAGCAGCAGAATTCGTCTGCTTCTCTGGATGTTCATGTGCGTCTTTGGACTTTTCATGTGCAGCAGCAGAATAATGTGTTTTTTTATAGAAACGCCGCTCCAACTAAGAACTTGAAGTCATCCAACTACGGCGCGAGTTTCGTCGCGTTTGGATCGCCCTCCAAAAACTTGCGCCAGTCCCACAAGTCCAAGATTTTTGGGTGGATAAACACGTTCGTTGTGGCTCGGTTTTAGACGTGTTTTAACTCAGTGGGGATTTAACCCCAAGTTGGTTTGTTTTGGAAGCCAATTGAAGAAATCGTATCGAACACATCACCTTCTGAGGTACGACGGGAGTGTATGGGAATGTAATAGATCCATAGACTCTATTGGCTGCTCCAACAGCTGCTGTCCCAATTTTCTCCTGTCTTTGCCAACCTTCGTTTCGGGCTCATCCACTGAGTCTCAGTGAAGCCGACGACAAGCCACAAGACCGGGTCGAGTGGTCGAGCTGGGACTGGGATGCATCAAAGGCTGGGCAAAGAAAAAGGACAAGGAATAGATCCAGCAACTACAGTCATGTGTTGAACACTTGAGAATTTCATTTGTAGATTCCTACCCGAAGAATCCTTGGACCCTCCACGGCCGGGGTGGCCCTCAAAGCCCAATGTGCTTGAGGGCCTGGATTTTTACGGTACCAAAAGCTCTCAGAGAAACATCGGTTTATTTTCCGGGAAAAATGAAAAAAATCTTGGTGATTTTTGTCACGCCTCGGGAAAAACCCTTTACTTCGAGTGATCTCAACCATGACATGTCTTTCAGTTGTTCTCACGCCACGGTGAGGAGCATGTTGCCACGGTGGTGGATTTTGAGGTTCTTGATTTTGCTTGTGGGTCCTCGAGTTTGGCGTGATTGTTTTAGTGCTGGGGAGTTTGTATTGGGGTGTCGCCAGGGTCCACAGAAAGTCCGGCCCTGTGACCACCCACCACGCAAAATGCCACACACACACAGAGGTAATTCTATTGTTGTGTGTTGCCTGTTGTGTGTGTTGTGTGTGTGTGTTGTGTGTGTTGTGTGTGTGTGTTGTGTGTGTGTTGTGTTTGTGTGTTGTGTTTGTGTGTTGTGTGTTGCCTGTTGTGTGTGTTGTGTGTGTTGTGTGTGTTGTGTGTGTTGTCTGTGTTGTGTGTGTGTTGTATGTGTTGGGCTGTTGGCTGTTGTAGTGTGTGTGTGTGTGTGTTGTGTTTGTTAGTTGCTTCTGTATAATTTGTGTATTGTGTGTTGTGCGGTTGTGTGTTGTGCATTGTGTGCTGTGTGCTGTGTGCTGTGGTTGTGGTTGTGGTTGTGGTATGTTGTGGTTGTGGATGTGGTATGTTGTGGTATGTTGTGGTTGTGGTATGTTGTGGTATGTTGTGGTATGTTGTGGTATGTTGTGG